ATAGAGAAGTATCACTTAAGTAAGCCAAAGAGAAAGATGAAACAGACAAGAATAAATTTCCTGGTCTTTGGGAAACTGAAGTCTTGAGCTTTCTACTGTCTTTTGAGGCTTTAATTTTTTTTTCAAAAGTGTTGTGAACCATTTGCATCAGATTTTTTTTTTGTACCAAGAAAGTTTTGTACTTGTTGAATAGGCTTATCCTATAATAAATCTTAATGTTTTTATGGGTGAGAATGAGATTGACATGGGGTACTTGCTACTTTTCAACTTGTTTATAGTTATTATTTATTATTTTCCTAAGCAGAGGAAAGTGTGAATCAAATGAGCAGCAGGATTTACAAATGATATAAAGCTAAAATCCGTTCAGTGCTCTGCAGTCTTATTGCCAGTTTCTCCTAAGTAATATCTCCATGGTTTAATTTCATCATTGCAAGTGACGTAAATCTCGTATTGACCTCATCCACATGAAAGTGCATCATTGCCAATTTCTTCTAAATCAGGTTTCCACAATTTTGCCTTTATGACTTTAAGACATTTTTTTAAAGTACTTTGCCAAGAAGCTGTTAACTACATTTCAATGGCTTCTTTAGCCCAAGACTCTCATTGTTAAAAGTTCTCCTCATAAAATGTCACCTTCCCTTCCCCTGTTTTTTTTAAGCTTTATTTTAATCTGTTTGTGGTTTTTGTTGTTAATGTAAGCCACTTAGAAAAGTAAAGGTAAAATTTAAAAATTTTCTTTTAGAAGGAGAGTAATTTTTAGAATTTTCTTGCAATAAAAATATGTCCACAAAAGTATTAACCATAAAACATTGAAAAATTGGACTTTGTTGAAATTGGACATCATCAAAACACATCTTTAAGAAATTAAACAGGCATTCTATATAGAGTCTGAGAAGATATCTTAAGTACACATAGCTGACTTATATTAAGAATATATCAAATGCTTTTGTAAAATAAAAGAATCCAATTTAAAAATAGGCAAGTTTTTTTTTTTTTGGTTGATGTTAAGGATTTTTTTAGTACTTTCTAGGTGCTGAATTCTCTGCAAATATGTTATGATGGGAGGCAGTACACAGTGATGGAGTGATCTCTGTTCCTTTTTATTAGTATCAAGTGTACAACACAGTGATTACACTTCCCTATGTAACTTAGGAAATGATGGCTCTGGTAAATCTAGTATGGGCAAAAGATTTGAACACATACTTCATAAAAGAAGGTATCCAAATTGCCATTAAGCATATGAAAAAGGGTCATCATCACTCATCGGGGAAATAACTATTAAAATCATAAGGAGATACCATTATACATTCAGCAGAATGGTTAAAAAGACCGACAATTCTAAGAGTTAACAAGGATATAAATAATTCTTAATCATTGCTGGTAAGAGTATAAATTGATTCAACCACTTTGGAAAACGGGCAACATCTACTAAGGATACCCTGTTGTTCCATCCTTTGATAATATACATGAGAGAAATGAGTGCATATATAATCACCAAAAACATGTATGTGCACAATAACTTTATTCATAGCAGTTAAACTGGAAACGACCCAAGTGTCTATAAACTGGTACATTGGTTAAAAAAAGAAATACACAGCGGTAAACAAAGAACAAACACTAACAAATGCAACTTTGATGATCTCAAAAATAGATTATTGCATAACAGAAGCCAGATATAAAAGAACAGACACAATACGAGTTTTGGGCTTTTTTGACAATTTTATTTATTTAGTTTTAGAGGGGAAGGGAAGGAGAAAGAGAGAGAAGCATCAATGTGTAGACAGATGCCTTTCGCACACCCCCTACTGGGGACCTGTCCCACAACCCAGGCATGTGCCCTGTCTGGGAATCGAACCAGTGACCCCCAAGTTCGCAGGCCGGCACTCAATCCAGTGAGCCACGCCAGCAAGGGCCAAGATGAGTTTATTTTTAAATGAAGATCTAGAGTGTACAATACTAAACTGTAGTGATAGAAATCAGAATAGTGATACCTGTTGTGGAAGGGAGGGATCATTGACTAGGAAGGAGCATGAGAAAATCTTTTGGAGTGATGGAAAAGTTCCGTGTCTTTGATTTTATTGGTGGTTCATTGGATGTTGACATACATAAAAAAATATTGAACTATACACTTAGAATTTGTGTACGTAAGTTATATCTAAGTAAAGTAAGAAATAATTTTAAAGAGTAGGTGTCTAGAGAGGCAGGCTTAGCATTTATTATAACATTGATTTAAATAGGAAAGTTCTGTAATATAAAAGGAAGTTTAATCTTTGTTTCATTGAGGGTTTCTCTTATGTAATGATATTATGCTTTTAGCACTTTGGGAGAATTATAATTCGTAAATATACCTATGCTTAATTAGAAAAAGTATTTGTAACATTAGAACCAGTTAATGATTTCAGGCCGAATAGTTAAAAATTTTATTATTATATCAGTTTCTAAGAATGATAAGTTATCTTAATAACTCAAAGTACCAATGTACTGTTGAATAAATAGATGTTGGATTACATATTTTTAATGAATAATTTACACAAGAAACTGAAGAAATACTGGGTTGTGTGTTTTGGCAAGGGGGAGAATGTGAAATGGGAGAGAAATGGTATTTTAAATTTTTTGGGTCTCAGTAGGTAAGCATCCTTCGTTTATAAACTAATTCCCAAACTGCTTCTTCCCCTAAGAGACTCAGGAATTTAACAGAGAAGGAAAAGAAAGCTGAGTGAGAAGGTAGCTGCATTATGTTTGTGTTTTCTCCTTCTGTGTCTACATCATATATATTTAATATTTGCCAATTTTATCTTTGTTTTATATTTGACAGTCTAGGGTATGATCTGGTTATGTAGTAGATTGACTAAAAAAATAAATTTAGATTTTTATTATTGTATTTTGACCATAATCGAACAGATCGCTTGTAGTAGTAAAAGGGATTTAGACTGAATCTGTTTACATTCTAGCATGTACCTTATTTATCCTTTTGTATTTTTAACCATTGCCATTATTTTACTCTTCATACTTAAAGGAAAAAAAAAAACAAATAAAACAACTACCTTCCTCCACACCAAAAAAAGCAAAACAAAACACCCTACCATTAAAGCCACAGATAGTGACTAACAAAGCTGTTTCCAGGGGGTGGTACTTAGAAAGAATGCCTTGTTAATTCGGTACAGTGGAATCTCTGCATGTCTGGTTTTTTAGTGCAGTACGTGAGAGCACTCCAGTTGGTTTGTGAGGTCTGGTCCTTTGTAGAACAACGGTTTCTTGTTTGTAGTATGAATTTTTATTCTTTTTCAGTTCTCACTAACAAATAGTATCATTTTCATATCTCAGCAGAGTTGCTTTTTTATTTGTGTAGTAAATATCTTTTGTTATGAATAGGCATCTTTTACTTTGCCAAAGCAATCTGTATCTTTAAAAAAAAATTGAAAAACCACTATCATGTAACAATTGATCTAGCACATTAAATACTTCCCCAATCCTTTTTCCTATCCTTGCAGCTTGTTTGCATGAGAATTTGGCAAAAAAAATCTTTGTACCCACTTCCTGAAAAGTGCTCACATGAATCTAAACTGAAATTTCAGTGTCATGGACCTAAAATTAAGAACTTCCACATAAAGCCCTGGCTGGTGTGGTTCAGTGGATTGAGTGCCAGCCTGCAAACCAAAGGGCTGCTGATTTGATTCAGGCTGGGTCCTCCTGAGCGGGCACACGAGAGGCAACCACACAGTGATGTTTCTCTCCCTAACTTTCTCCCTCCCTTCCCCACTATCTAAAATAAATAAATAAAATCTTAAAAAAAAAACAAAACCTCCCACATCATAACAAAAATTTTGAGTTGCGTACTGACAAAAGTTCAGTTCTTGGGGGAGAGTTTTAGTTTTTCTATCAAGAACTGCCTGCCCCTATGCTCCTTATATTACAGTCATGACATAGCCCAGATAACTACCAAATTTTTACCATGCTAAGTAAAATAGTAAAGATCTTAGAGGGGAAAAATTTAGAAATAAAACTATATACATGTCTTTTTGTCTTCCAGGAAACTTATTTCTATTTGCCAATGTGATTCACAGAGTTTGGGTATTTTAGAGATATACCTTTCCCCTACTAGTTTCTACTAGCTGGAAGTATTCTAGCAATGTCTTCATTAAAATAAAAATGATATTAGTGAGACCCTTTCTGGGTCTAGTAAAACCTTGAGGTCCTCGTAGAATGCATTGTTTAATCGTGAAAAAATGGGAGTGTCTATTGAATTTGATTTGAATCAGTTGACATTAACTCTGCCATGTGACAGGTTAATAGAATTTAAAGTTTCCAAAATTTCAACTACTTATGATAATTGGTTGGGGCAGTTGACAAGTTACTAATAGGATCAGGTATTGATATTATCATTAATAACAGCCAGTTAACAGTTCTTTAGCAAGTGTGTGTATGTGTGTATATATATCAAGCAGTGTGATTATAACCTTTTGTGTATTAAATCCCAGTAATCCTCATAAAAGGCATATAAGGAGATTACCATTACAACTCCCCTTTTATAGATGAGGAAAGGTCATTTAAGGTCATGTAGTAAGGGGTAGAGCTGGGGCTTAAACCCAAGACCTCTCATGATGCTGTCTCTCTTGGTATTATTTACAGGTTTGGGCAAAAGTGGGTTTACAGTTCATATGTAAAATAATACAATAATAAATAATAATACAAGAATAAACCCTGTTTCGCATACTCACAACTGTAAACCTACTTGCAGATGCTATTTTAGTTTTTTAGTGTCAAAAAGAAATCATAGCATTTAATGTATCTTATGTCAGCCATTAGTCTGTTAGCTCCATGAACGGTGGCCCCATTCAAAATAGAAAGAGTATTATTTTTGTAGTTGGATTCAGAGAAAGGAGTTGAGTCTTTAGTCAGCTGGGGTAATCTTTTTCTTTCTCGCCTGCAGAAAGGCTTGGTCAGAGCAAGACCAGGAATATGTTCGGCAACTGTTAGAAAACCATTTTGCCATTATTTTTTTAAATATGGAATGCTTCACGAAGTTGCCTGTCATCCGTGCTCAGGGGCCGTGCTAATCTCTGTATAGTTCCAGTTTTAGCATATGTGCTGCTGAAGCAAGCACCAGTTTGCCTTTTGACTGTAGCTGTTACATTTTTCTTCTCACTATTATTCTTATTTGGTATTGTGAGTTTTCCAAAAATACTGTGCAAATGGGAATCTTATTTGTTGTTAACATCATGATTTTTAAAATGGAAAAGAGGTAGGAAACTTTTAAGTGCATACACTTTAGAGGGGGATAAGGTACCCATGATAGGATGAGCTTTGAAGGAACCTAAGACAACAAAGTATAATTTTGTGGTTGACAATGAATTTTTGTGGTCTAACAGCTCAGGTGTGGTAGGCATGAAATAATTGCTATCAGAATCTTTAGAGAGACTTTAAATATCATAGCTAAACAGGTTATAAAGTCTGGATCCTTACTAATGGTGCTGAAAGAATCACTCAAGAATAATAGGAATAATAGTTTAGAATAACTGAGATGGTAAAGGTAGAAAAGAGATTAAAGAATTAAGAACTGTGATTTATGTTGGCTGCCTATATGTGCCATATGACCAAGGATATGAAAAGAGGTTTATTTGTAAAATTAAATACACCCTAAGAAATTGATAACAAAAATAGGATTCAAGTTGGAAAGAGGTACACTTTCCTCTTTCCATAGAATCTCCAGTACCCAGCATGTTCTTCCCTTAGCAGCATGCAGTGCCTTCTCTTCCCACTAATTATCTGTCCTCTTTTTTTCCCCATACAGACATTCCATACACCAAGCTTGGGTGATGAGGAATTTGAAATCCCACCTATCTCCTTGGATTCTGATCCTTCACTGGCTGTCTCAGATGTGGTTGGCCACTTTGATGACCTGGCGGACCCTTCCTCCTCTCAGGATGGCAGCTTTTCAGCCCAATATGGGGTCCAGACATTGGACATGCCTGTGGGCATGACCCATGGCTTGATGGAGCAGGGCGGGGGGCTCCTGAGTGGGGGCTTGACCATGGTAAGGGGGAAGACATTTTCAAGCTTACCCAATACTCATGGGCATGGTATTAGGGAAAACAGAAGTGACTCTCCATTCCCTACTGTACTTGGGTATTACTTGTTTCTCATTCTTGTCGATGAAGGCTCATGATCAAAGACTTAATTTCCCCTGAATAAATGGAATTTATCATCTGAATCAATTTTACTTGAAAAATGGTTTCAAATTATAAAATGTCCAATGTTAACACTGAATTGAAAATGATTTATTGTGATTTTTGAAAAAAGAAAAGGGTTTTTACCCCCTCTTCTAACATGGACTTCGCATCCTAGGATTCAAATGTGAGTGTGATAGCGGGCACATTGAGAGGTTTATTCCAAAACGGTCTGAACCAAATGTACTAATTGTGGGTTAGTATGTGTTATAAGTCAGTATATTGAGCTTTCAGTACATCTCATCAGTGGTACATCTCTACACCTTATAGTTGACGTCAAACATCTCAAGTTCGGACTAATTTACTCTGATTGCCTATGTACTGCAACTTTAAAAGCCATTATTTTAGGAGGGTGTAGGGAGAAAGTTTTTCTTTACCCCTTGGGTCATCACTACCTCTGGATTACCAAATAATTTATTTGCTCTTTAACTTGTCCAAAAGTAAGACTTCTCTCATTGTTTTTAGTTGTTTTAGAATAGGCCTTTGGATACAAAGAAGTGACTTTACTAGTTTCTGTACTTTACTAAAAAGCTTAATATATTTTATATGTAGACAAACTATTTGATGTTTAACGTTTAAACAGTGATACAATGTGGATGAGTAGAGGGTTTATACGCTGTCCTGTCAGGGTTGGGGGGGAAGAGTGGTGTTCTTTATATTTAGTGTTTAATTAGTCCTTCTGCTTCTCTCAGGACTTGGACCATTCTATAGGAACTCAGTATAGCGCCAACCCACCTGTTACAATTGATGTACCAATGACAGACATGACATCTGGCTTGATGGGGCATAGCCAGTTGACCACCATTGATCAGTCAGAACTGAGTTCTCAACTTGGTTTGAGCTTAGGGGGTGGCACCATCCTGCCACCTGCCCAGTCACCTGAGGATCGTCTTTCAACCACCCCTTCACCTACTAGTTCACTTCATGAGGATGGTGTTGAGGATTTCCGGAGGGTGAGGCATTCCCTGCCAAAAGTCAAATCTGCCATGATATTCTGGAATAAAACTCTTGGCATAGAGAACTACTCAGTATCTTTACTCCTGTCCTGCCATCTCCTCTGCTCTTTTCTGGGTATGGGGTCCTGCCTCTCAGTTTACAGTTTATAATGCTCCTCCCAATCTCCATTTTTGTTGGTTCTCACATACTTTACTAATTAATGCCTTAATCCTGTTGCCTCTATTTTTAGCATTTCTGAAAATTCCATTCATGTAGCTAGTTTCCCCCATATAAAAGTCCTTTTCTTGCAGTTCTTCAGACATGATACTTCCCTTCTTCCTTCTTGTAATTCTCTTTTCTCCCATACAGCAACTCCCCAGCCAGAAGACAGTTGTGGTGGAACCAGGGAAAAAGCAGAAGACCCCAAAGAAGAGAAAAAAGAAAGATCCTAACGAACCACAGAAACCAGTTTCAGCATATGCTTTGTTCTTCCGTGACACACAGGCTGCCATCAAGGGACAGAATCCCAATGCCACTTTTGGGGAAGTTTCAAAAATTGTGGCCTCCATGTGGGACAGTCTTGGAGAGGAGCAAAAACAGGTGAGCAAATAATGAAAAACTAGTAGATAATGAATGTTCTAGAAGTTTTTAAGTAAGGGGGTGAAAACTTAAGTTTTCTTTTAACTTTCTTACATGGTCTTATGTAACACCAGCTTTGTCAGTGGCATTCACAGATTATCCTTTGTCTAAGAAGCTGCACCCGTACACCAAGTCCAGAATACTCATCTAAAAATTATTAATAATTATTATAAAATCACTAATTTTCCTAAGCCTAATTTTTTTAAACTGTAAAATCAGGTTATTCCTTGATAAATTGCATGTTGTGGCTAACTGTAAAATCTGTTACCAAGTTTAGATTTAGAATATAGTTTAGGATTTTCTTATTGGCCTACTTTAAACTTCAAAACTATAGTTAATCTCCCTAAATTTAATTTGGATTTAAAAAAATGAAAATTGTGATAGTATATAATAAAATGTAGAATTAAAATGGCTATCATTATCATATACTATCCAGGTCTTGTATCAAAATGAGTCTGCTACCTACTTAATAATTTGAAAAAGGTAATTTTATTATAGATTACTTGTATCAGTTACCTATTGCTACTCAACAAAGCATCACAAATTTGGTGGCTTAAAACCGTGGCAATTTATTATTTCTCATGATTCTGTAAAGTGGTTGGGTGGTTTTCCTAGTGTTCTTGCCTGGGCTCATTCCTGTGGTTGTAGTCAGATGACAGTTGGTATGATTGGCCAAGGGGACTTCACTCCCATGTCTGGCAGTCGGTGTTACTTGTTGGTTAAGATGCCTTGGCTCTCTTTCACATGGCTCCTGCCCTCCACATGGACTAGACTGGCTTCTTTACAGTATGGCAAACACAGACCAGTATTCCCAAAGGACAAAAACAGATGCTCCAAGGTCTCTTTGTGTTACTTGAGCCACATTTTAACAGTCAAAGCACTTTATAGAGATAGCCCAGATTCAGGGAAAGGGGAAATAGGTTTCAGCACTTGATGGAAGAAGTATGCAAAATGGAAAGAGTTCTTGTGGCCATCATTGCAAATAATTTTACATTTTTTTTTTTTTAAACACATTCTTTAAGGGAGAGTATACTGGTTAGGCACTATCCCAGGCTAAGCAAACTACCGATCTTAAAAAGTTTTGGGGTCAGGATTTGTTTTGCTAATGGAAGTAGGCATGGGTTGGTGTCAGCTTTAGAAGTGGGGTTATTCTGGCAATATTCTTGTTGACTGGCTGGCTTTCAGATTCTTAGAAGTCTGACATAAAGGCTGTCTTGATTGCTAGCTTTCAGAAATATATTCACTAAAGGAGTTGTCAATATTCAGATTGTCATTCATTGATGAATAATAGAATTATCAGTCTTTTCTAGAAGTATGGGGACTTCTTAAACAGCTTCTCTTTCCTGCAGGTATATAAGAGAAAAACTGAGGCTGCTAAGAAAGAGTATCTGAAAGCTCTGGCTGCTTATAAAGACAATCAAGAATGTCAGGTAAGAGGGTTAGGGTAGGTGGGTATTAAACCAAAAAAAAAAGATTTTTTGAGCCCGGGCTGGTATAGCTCAATGGATTGAGCACGGGCTGCGAACCAAAATGTTGCAGTTCAATTCCCAGTCAGGGAACATGCCTGGGTTGTGGGCTAGGTCCCCAGTAGGGGACATTCCAGAGACAGCCACACATTGATGTTTCTCTGCCTGTCTTTCTCCTTCCCCTCTCTCTAAAAATAAAAAAACAAAATCCTAAAAAAAAAAGATTGTTTGAGCTGTTTATTAGCAGTTAGAAAGATGCCACAAAGAATCTATGGAGCCTCTTTATGTTGTATATAATATTAAAAGCTTAGAAATACGAGGTCTGTCCAGAAAAAGTCCAGCCATTGTTAATATAATGAGAACAGTTTGCATGACATCGATGTAACCTGGCAGCAAAGGAGAATGGGCTGGAATGCACATGCCTGAACAATGACTTCACTGTACTAGTCAGTGGGGGTGGTGGGCGCTGTTGAGTGAGCATGTGTACTGTGTGGCCATGGTGTTCAAAATGCCTGAGTAGAGCAACAAATCTACACATTTTGCATAAAACTTGAACATTCCTCTGTGGAAACTATTAGGATAATTCAGAAGGCTGTAGCTATGGGCAACGGGTGATTAGCAGGCAGCTTCATCACAACAATGCACCTGCTCATGCATCATGTGGAGAGTTTTTTGCGAAACATCAAATCACCCAGGTGACTCAGCCCCTCTACAGCCCAGATTTGGTGTCCTGAGACTTCTGGCTTTTCCCAAAACTACAATCACCTTTGAAACGAAGGAGATTTCAGACCATAGATGAGATTCAGGAAAATACAACAGGGCAGCTGATAGCAATT